CATTTATTTATATCTAAAATGGGTATCATTTTAACCACTAAGGATGAAATAAAAATATGTATACAGGATGGCCAATCTCCTCCAGTGGAATATACTATCTCTGAAAACCCACTGGCAGGTCAGCAGTGAGCCAGTTCCAACTCCACAACACACAACAATAATGTAGAAATCATAGCACAAAAAAAGAGAGAAATTAAGCACATACATACTGTTTTGTTGTGGTCCCTCCTTCCTTACATAGTAGTTTAAAAAATAGTTATTGGATTGGAAGGGGAAGGGAATTTACTTTTTTAATTCTTTGGAAAACATAAAATTTTATATAATTTACCCTGCTCATCCAATGAGTCTGAAATAAATGCTCTTTTTATTTCATTTTCTATTTCTTCATTTTAAGTGTTTCACAGAATTTTACCAAATTACCAATTTATTTTTTCAAGCTCCTTTCTTTGATATTTCTGTAGAGTTGAATTGCTTTTTGATGACTGCCCAGCCGTGCCATTTATCAGGTAGGAAGCCAAGCTAAATTCTCTACGTCTCTGTTTCCATGTCTGTAACTATGATAGTACCTGTGACAAACTCAATGAATGGTCATGACAATTATAAAAAATAACACCTATAAATTGCTTAGCTCAGTTCCTTGCATGAGTAAGTACTCACTAAGGGTTAGTTTTAAACTATGCAGCTATTATTATCACCACTACTACTATATCAGGTGTTCTAAAATTGTTTTATCTTTAAAGAACTTTCTTTTGAATTTGACAAATACATGATTGTACCTTGGAATAATCTTTTTTCCTCTTCATTATACACTAAGAATAACCTTAGAATATCTACATAAATTCATTTGGCTTTTTATAGTGACTGTGTACATCTTTTCTCTCTCAGATTTCCTATTTCTTGAGGATAAGACTCGACCTTCTTTCTACACCTCTTGTTTCCTACTCTGTCATGTTAAGGCTCTCAAGGTGCCTATTGAATAAATAAGTACATAACTGACATGATTGTATGGAGGGGATTAAATCTCCACTGTACAGTGAGAACAGAAGTAGAGAAGGCAGACCCAAGCCAGTGGGTCCTTTAGGCGTTTTCCAAAGTAAGGGACCAAGATAAGAAAATAGAAACCAGAGAATGAAAAATATCTAAAACATCTCTTAATAAACATTCTGCAATCCTTTAATGGTAGAGAGCCTAACTATGTATTGGGGTGTGGGATCACATATCAACAAAGAGGAGAACTAGAGGAAAATAACGTCAGAAATAGTCTAGTTCATAGTCCTATTTTAGCAACTAAGTTTGTCCAGTGTGGGATACAAGTGTTACACATGGCTCTGAAGCATTGACTTTCTTGGAGGCATTAACAACAGTAATAATAACAACAGGAAAAGCCAGTAAGGTGATGAGAAAAATAACTCTATTTATATTCTTTTAGGGGAGTTTGCTCAATCTTGCCAATTAGTATCTCAGTTATCTATAAAAGCCAGTAATTCCCCCATTGGTTCCCCCTCCAATTGATTCTTTTTTTTTTTTTTTTTTTTTATTCTTTACATTACAGCTCTGTATGTTTCTCTTTCTGTACGGCTTTCCCCCATAGCCACTAAAGTCAAAGGCCAATATATAGTGTTCCTTGACTTTGTTTAACAACTTCTTTTTTGTTCATTGATGAGAATTTCACTTCTTCAAAGGATACTCTGACATCCTCTCCCTGGTGTATGATTCTGTTTCTATCCCTGCACTCCTTCCAATTTTCCTGCCTATCTTCATTAATTAAAAAGACAGCCTGGCTTTATTCTCAGTAGTGTGTATAATGAAACAAAATCACTTTCTTTTCTTAAATGTGTTGAATATCATTTTTGAAACTAACCAGCCTTCTCTCTGTTCACTACCACCTACTGAGAATCACTAATCCGAAACCCAGAAATAGCAGATCTGGCAAATTATTCTTCAAAAGAGTTCAAAAATCCTCCACACAGCTATTTGAAAAGACGGTCATCTTTTCAAATTCTTTGCATCCTGGGGGAATCATGGGCTTGCTTTAGAAGCAAAGGAGAGGCCTTTCTTCTTGGCCAGCCAGTACCCTCTGTCCTTCTGTTTTGCACATATTTTACATATCCTTCCTTCTGCACATACTGAACGCTGCAATGTGCCTGGGTCCCTCTGGGGCTGAAAGTGCGGGGTGAAGGAGACACAGGCCCTGCCCACGAGGAGCTCAGAATAGCCTTAGGAAGGCCTTCCGTCAGCCTCCCATTGCTCCACGCTTGGTTTAGTGTTTTTCTTCCTTCTCTTTGAAGTTCTTGTGGCAATAAAATCCTAGGGGAATTGAGGAACAGCCATTCATATAAATCTAGTTCAAATAAAGTAAATGTATTTTTATACTATCCTCCCATCCACATTTCAACCTTTTCCATCTCTTTGTATCTCTCTCTCTCTCTGTATGTATATATGTATACAATCTCCTGAACCAATTCAGTAGCATGACATACCATATTATTAAATCCCCAGAATGTATTTGGCTTAAGGTTTGCTTTCTGGCTATAAAGAGCATGGGAAACCCATCGGTGGGGCTTTGGGATCGCCGTGGGACCACAGTCTAACTGGCAACATTATGTGAAACTATGCTGTGGGAACATAATTACCTCAATCCCACCCTTTCTACACCATATACTTTGACCCTCCTGGAATGACTAATAGCTTCTTTCTGTTTTCAAAAACCAAAGTCTTGAACTGGCGAAACTATTACACTAACAGTATTAAGAACTTCACTACGGAACATTCTTTCTGGTTGGAAGGAAATAAAGCAAACAGAGATATAGACATATTAACTAAAATAGCACCATAAAAATAAGGTGTTGAGAAATATCCCCAAATAAGATTTATATGTGCACAATAATTTAAGATGTAGACATTAATAACTTCTCTAAGCACTCTCTTCTTTTGCTGCAGTTTTAGCATCTATAACTTGTCCAACATTAAGGAATCAGTACATTGAAATTTTACTTTGATACCATGGGAATGCAAAGGCTATAGTTTAAAGAAAGATACTCTGCTGTAACACTGTCCCATAATTTCATTAAATACATAAGCATATAATAAAAATAATGACTCCTAAAAGGTCCATGATTATTTTCTTAATTTCTGTGCAATAACAGGAATAGATAAATGGTTCTATGTGCTTGTCATTTAAATAAGATTACCAGATAGAACAGATAAAATACAGGACTCGAAAATACATTTGAGTTTTGTGTAAACAACTATTTTTGTTTTAAAGTATAAATATATCCATGCAATATTTAGGACATACTTGTGCTACAATTTTATTTATCTGATATGTTAGTTGTAATTGGGCATCCTGTTTTTCTATTTTGTTTTCTGGAAATCCTAATTAGGAAGTCAAACGTTTCATTCAGAGGCCTCCCATGCCCAAAGCAACAGGTGGAGATGATGCATCCAGGAGAATAATTCCAAGCATAAGGAAAAGTGATGCCCTTGCCTGGGTCTCTCCTGGTCCAGACTCACCCAGTGTTTGGGGGTGAAGTTGAGCAGACTACACTATACATACTTTGTATGGAAGGTATAGTCTCTTTTAAAAAGAGAAGGGAGGTTGGTGTGCCCTACTCTAGACCTACTCTTTTTTGATCTGATAATAATTCCTTCCTAAGAAAAGGACCATCTCCATGCACCTTCTTTTTATTGGTAATAATAATTCCAGTTATACTACCAATTGATGTTGTTGTTATTGATTGCCTTCGAGTTGAGCATGACTCATAGTGACCCTATGAACAAAAGGCCTGAAGCCTTTCTATAACATCGACATTTATCAAAGTTCATAGAGGTTCCAGAGGCATATACTAACAATTAGTAACAATAATTTTAACTTCAATGCTGTTAAAAATGGTGTCTGTTTTGGTTGTATGGGTGCTGTAACCACAGCTATATGGGGGAGTGTGTGTGTGTGTGTGTGTGTGTGTGTGTGTGTTTTGGTCGATAGCTTTTTCCTTTCCCATGAACTTAGGTGACTTCAGTTTCCTCCTGCTTAGCATCTCCCACGCACTGGACTTACTGTTGTCTGTCTGCGCTCAAGGGACTCTTAAATCACTTATACTGGATCCATCTTCCTTCACCAAAGTTTATCACCTTAATTACAGTTTCAGCCTACAACTTTTTACAATGTACTCCAATAGCAGCTCTTTGAATAAAACACATGCTTACGCTGATGGTTTTTACTTTTGGAATGAGTTTGATTATAATGGTAGTGTCTTGTTTCTGAAGGATATTGATTTGCTTTTTATTTAAAGTACCTACAGGGGCCTTTCCCTATCAGTTTCTTTCATCACACACCCCTGTTGCAGGGAACTTCACTTGAATTTGTTATAAAAGGACAGATCTGGCTGTATTGTTCCCATCGACTTAACATTGCAGAGAAGTGGCAGGGCTCACACATGGAGTTGCTGTTGTTGATACATGCCATCAAGCCAAAGCCCACTCATTGTTATGGGTACTCATAGCTGACCTTCCAGTGGGTTTTCAGAGGCTGTAAATCCCACCAGAAAAGACTGCCCATCTTTTCCGTGCATAGCAACTGTTGGATTAGAACTGCATGCCTTTGGGTTGACAGAGCAGTTCCTTTCCACTACACTCGCAGAGCGTATTAAATTCATAGCTTAGCCAAAATTATTTTAGTGGGAAACACCCACTTTGTCAATACCTGGCAGAAAGACCTCTTCACTGAGCCTCTTCAGTTCTAGGTCAGAGTTTAGCAGTTTTACTCAGAGCAAGCTAGAACACATGCACTTTGGCCACTTTCAACAGTGGCATGTTTCAAAGCCTCAATAGCCCGATGCAACTTTGAAAGCAAAACTTTTAAGTTTCTGAACCGACCTGTCTCCAGGTGTAACTCTCAAAGGAGATAAGGGAGGGGAGAGAGGGGATCAAAATAGAAAGGGGAAGAGGCAGCCCATGAGGCACAGATGCCCAGCAGGGTGAGAATGGCAGGGTCACTGTACCTGGGTAGTAGAAGGCTGCTGTCCAAACGCCACGCTCCTCTCAGGCAGGTCTTGGTTGCCAACCGCTGAGCTCCCTTCGATGTCAAAAGTCAGAGCGTTGTCCTCACTGGCTACTAGGCTGGAGCAAACAGCGCCCCAGAGGAGCCAGAGGGGCAGCACAGAGCACCAAGCAGAGCGCAAAGCCATCTCTCCTTACATCCAAGCGGGCTCTTTAGGGACTCCTAAGCGGATCCTCTTCTTCGATTCCCTCCCGTGGTGCTGACGTTTCACGATTATTTTACCTTCCCTCTGCTTGCTGGCTCCAGATGTGACAACTCAGCAGTCCAAGCAGCTCCTTATTAAAAAAACAGTAAGCGCGTTCCCTCTCTTTCACACACTCTTACACACACACATACACGCACTCCCTTCCAGCCCCTTTCTCTCCCTGAGTTTGTTTCTCTCACTTTCGCACTCTCCCAGTTCTGCTCCCTAGAGGTTCTGGCAGAAGAGTGTGCAGCTGGAGGGAGTTTACACAGTGTCACAAGCAAAAGCAAGGCAGAGAATCAGTGATCACTCAGCCGCCTCCTCGCGCCCGCTGGACGCAGCACTGCGCGGGCTGCCTGGCTCCCTTCCCACACTCATTCTCACCACTCCCAGTGTACCTTCCCCCCACGCCCTCCCCTTTCGAGCTGGCCTTTCTAACACCAAGGCTGAGCCTTCCCTTTCCCTCTCCCCCTCCCTTCTCTCTCACTTTGGAGCCATTTCCCAGTGATATTTCAAATGAATATTCAGCTTTTGTCACTGTTACTCAAATCTCTAAGTTAACTATTCTAGGTATTTGATGACTTATCTATACAACCTTCCCTTGATAACCACTGATAGGGTTGGTTCCAGGATTATCTCTTTCCGCCCCACCTTGGTGAAGATAACAAAATGCACAGATGCTCAAGACCTTTACCTAAAATGTCTGTAGAATATGAATATGAACTATGCATACCTTCTTCTATGTATTACATTATTTATAGTCTATATTACTTATATTAATTTTAACCTACATTCTTTATAATAACTAATATAAGAAACCACCCCAGAGGCAATAAGTTTAAATCGACCTGCTGCTCCATGGGAGAAAGATGATCCATCTCCTGTGTGATTTATAGCTTCTGAAAACTTGCTGAATGGTCAGCTATGACTCAATTCCTACCTAAGGACACATAACAACAACATAACAAAGTGGGAGGAAAATAAACAATCTCTTCCTATGCAATTACAGCCTCTGAAATCCCACTTGAGGGTCTGCTGTATCAGTTCCAACTCACAGCACACAACAGCATCAACAACAATTAAAGAAAATAACATAAACAAAATCCTCACCACTGGACCAATAGGCAACATCATGATGGATTGGAGAAATATTGAAGTTGTCAATGATTTCATTTTACTTGGATCCATAATTAATAACCAGGGTAAGGACAATCAAAAAACTCAAAAGATGTGTTGTGCTGGGCTAATGAGAAAAGGATGCCAGTTTTAAAAATTAAGGAGTGCGTGAACCAAGCTGTGGTATTTTCAATTACTTCCTATGCATCTGAAAGTTGGACAATGAAAAAGGATGACAAAAGAAGAATCAACACCTTTGGATTGTGGTGCTGTAGAAGAGCACTGAATACCATGGACTGCCAAAAACAAACAAGTCTGCCTTGAAGAAAGTGCAGCTGAAGTGATCCTACAGGAAAAGATGGTGAAACTTAATCTCATATATTATGGGCATATGTCAAGAGAGGGGCAAGTCTTTAGACAGAGATATCATGTTGGCAATGGTGGAGGGTCAGAGAAAGAGAGGAAAAGCCTCACTAGGATAGATTCACAGAATGGGCTTTGACAAAGGGCTTTAGCATATCAGAGATCTTGAGGATGTTGCAGGAGAAGGCGAAGTCCAGATGTGTTGTTCAGAGGGTTGCTATGGTCATAGCCTCTTTGCTATGGTACCTAACAACAATAATATGAAGTACCAAAGCAAAACCAAAGCTAATGTGATCTAGTAGATTCTGATCCATAGGGACCCTTCATTAATGTCCAAGGCTGGAAATCTTTATAGGAAAAGATTGCCTAAATTTTCCTACCTTCCTCTCAGGGAGAACCAGATCGATCCAAACTGCCAACTTCTCAGACAGCAGCTGCATACATTATGTACTAAATCACTAAGGCTGCTTAATAGAATGCAAGTGCTTTGTAAATAACATTTGGGCTGTTTTTCCCCCCAGCCTTTGAGGGTTGCTTTGACCACTGAATTACCTTTTTTCTCTTTTGAATATTTCCGATTTTCAAGCTAGTTGAATCTGCTGATGTAGTAGATGTGAATGTGCCAACTGTATTCATGTAGGTCTTTTGTGTGCACCCTTCTCTTTATAGGAAAGAGGGTGGACAAGGGCTTCCTCAGGCAGGAGCTAGAGGTAGGAAACCTCAGCAAGCAAAAGGGCAGCATGGTCCTTTTGTTGAAGTTTCTGACTTTCTAGAGATCCAGCTGCACTCTTTATGGATATCTTCTCTGGAAACTCACTGAGCACCCCTCTTCCTGCTGACAGTCCTCACCCAGAGGGCTTGAGAGAAGAGTATCTTTCACTGTAGCTCTGGAAAATGACTTCATTACTCAAATGCATGAACTTTTTATTTACAAAGAACATCTTGTTTTCCTCCTAAAGAGGTGCTTTGTAAAGGACGAGGAACAAGGCTTGCAGTGTGTGAGCCTGTTAAATATACTGCCCACAGACCCGGCCCTTTCCTCTTGGCCTGTAATCTCACGCCGACTACATCTGTCTGAGTCATGTAACCTTCCAAGATTTCTAGGTAAAGTTGGGCTGCAGTTTAGCCAGGGGTGTTTCCTTTAATCAGTCACTGCAGCTGATAGATACCATTTTTCCCCCATTAGTTTTAAGCACTGCTTCTTCTTATTGTTGTTATGTGCCATCAAGTCAGCCTTTACTCATAGTGAGCCTACAAACAGTGGGTGACTGAGCCAATCTTACAATTTGTGACTTGATTGCCATAGTCATTGTGTCAATCCATCTTATCCAGGGTCTTCTCATGTTCTGACCTTCTACCAAGATCTTCTATCAAGAACTTTGCCTTCTAGGGGGAACCCAGTTTCACTCCCTCTAGGAAAGACCTCTTTGTTCTCTTGACAGGCCAGGGTATGTTCAATACTTTTTTCCAATGCCGCAGTCAAAGGCATCTATTCTTCCATTATCCTTAATTATTGTCCAGTTCTCAGATGCATAGAAAGCAATTGAGAAGATGATCACTTGGATCAAGCACACCTCAGTCTTTAGACTGACATCATTGCTCTCTAGCACTCTGCAGAGGTCCTTGACAGCAGATTTTCCCAATGCAACTTGTCTTTTGATTTCCTGACTGCTGGTGCCAAGGATGTTGATTGTGAATCTGAGCAATATGAAATCATTAACAATCTTAATCTTTCTCCACCTATCACGATGCTGCCTACTGGTCCAGTGGTAAGGATCATTGTTTTATTAATGTTTAGATGCAATTCATATTGAAGTTGCAGTCCTTGATGTTCTGCAGCAAATGCCTCAATTCTCCTAGGTTTCAGTGAACAAAATTTTTTCATCTGCATAATGAAAGTTGTTGTTGATGAATCTTCCTCCAATCCTCATGGCACATTCTTCTTCGTAAAGTCTAGACTCCCAAATAAACTTCAGCATATAGGTTGAAAAGATATGGAGAAGGTATATATCCCTAATACATTTTCTTCTTTATTTGTATTTGAACCATGCAGTGTTCCATTGCTGTGTTTGGAAAACAACTTCTTGATCTAGGAATAGGTTTTGCACAAGCATAATCAAGTATTTTGAGATTCTAATTGTTTTCAATGTTAATAATTTTCCTTTTTTTGTGATCTACACAGTCAAATACCTTTGCATACTCAATAAAGCACAGATTGTCATCCTTCTGGTACAATATGCTTTTCACCAGATCCATCTGACATAAACAGTGATAGATATCTCTAGTGCCACAACGTCTTCTAGACCCAGCTTATACTTCTACTAGTTCTATGTTGATGTACTCTTCTAGTCATTTATAGGTAATCTTCAGCAAGTTTTTGCTTGCTTATCATATTAATGCAGAAAATCTATGAACTGTGATAAATGTTGATAATTGTAGAGGGGCTTCAAGGCTTTTGTTCACAGGGTCGCTATGGGTCATACTCAACTTGAGGGCAATCAACAATAATGATATTAATTCTATTTATTTAGACATGATTAAATGAGATTAAACCATATAATGACCCCAAGGTAAGTTTCTAGATGTTTGAAATCCCAGTTAATCATGTAATAAAGATTTCAGTTAAACCTATTCATGCTGTTCAATAACTCAAACCTATTCTTAAGATGATCATGAAATTCAGATGGAATTGATTCAAGATCAGATCTTGGTTACTGTGGACTTATTTTAATTTTTTTCAGTCTCAATTTGAACTTGCATATGAGTAATTGATGGTCTGACCCACAGTCTTCCCCTGGCCTAGTTTTGACTGCAGATATTGATCTTCTACAATTTCTTCCACAAATGTAGTCATTCTGATTCCTATGTAGCCCATCAGGTGAAATCCATGTGTATAGTTGTCTTTGTGTTTTTTAGAAAAGGTATTCGCAATGAATAGAACATTGTAAATGCAAAATTCAATCATTCTATTTCCAGCTTCATTTCTATCACCAAGCCCATATTTTCAAACTACTTTTCCTTCTTCAGTTTCCTACTTCTGCATTCCAGTCTCCAGTTATCATTAACACATCCTGATTGCATGTTCAGTCAATTTCAGACTGCAAAATTTGAGAAAAATTCTCAATTTCTTCCTCTTTGGCTCTAGCTGTAGGAGTATATATTTGAAAAATAGTCATGTTAACAGGTCTTCCTTGTATGCCTATGGATATTATCAATCATAGCCTTGTATTTCAGAATAGAACTTGAAATTGACTTTTTGACTATGAATGCAACACCATTCTTCCTCTGTTTTTTATTCACATCATATTATATGATATGATTATCTAGTTGAAAGTGGCTAAAGCTCGTCCATTGCATCTCACTAATGCCTAGTATGTCAATATTCATGCGTTCTATTTAATTTAAACAATTTACAGTTTTCCAACATTCAAGCTTCATACATTCCATGTTCCAATTGTTAGACA